TTAACTTTTAGGATTTAGGATTTTAGGTTTTTAAAGGATTAGGATTTTAATTTTAGGATTTTAAACTTAGGATTTTAATTTTAAAGTATTGTAAAGCGTCATGGACAATTAGTGGAAAATGGCGCTATATAAATGTATATTTATTTATTTATTTCATTTATTTATTTATTTATTTATTTATTTATTTATTTATTTATTTATTTATTTATTTATTTTAACCCATTGACTCCCAGAGCTTTCTGCCAAAAATGCACTTTTTGGACATTTTGGAGATTTTCAGGCTGGATATGGGCCAAGTTAGCTTTTGTGTTTTTTTTTAATTCTTTTTTTGTCTTTCCTTTTTCTCCTTTCTTATCTTTTTGCTGCAGTGATTGAACTTCTACGGGGCTTGCTTATCGTTCAAAAAATTCTGAGAAAGCATGATTCATCGAGACGGGCAATTTTCACCATGGAGCAGCCACATGTATTCGCAAGAAATTTTGCTCTGAGTTTTTTGCTCAAATTTCTGAGCATTTTCATACATATTTCAGGCTCCATTGAGCCGATCACTCTGATCTGGGTATCACTGAATAGATCTTTTCCCCTTGCAGAAGTTGAGTATAGATGATGCCAATTTTGGTCAATGTCAGAAGTGGAACAAAGGCTGAGGCTCGTCACCGCTGGTTACAGGTGGCACGGAAGACAATGGGTTAACAATAATGATTATACAATGTATAGTCTGGTCACTATGTGCCACTGATTATATTCTTGACACTTTGTGCCACAACTGCAGCACTAGTTATTAAAACTAGTATTACAGTTTGTCGCACAAAGTAACTAGAAGTATTGAGCACTAGTTGCCTTCATGGCAAGATACTACATGACACGTAACCTCCAGTATTTTCATTTTGCTGCCCATCTCCATTTATATGCAATTATCCCTGCATGTAGGGAGGCATGCAGCACAGTGAACCAGCTGCTTAACACCGAACTGATAAAAGGATCAGTTTACACCACTATAAGAACACTGATTTTAGTACTATTTAATAATAATGATTATAATAATTATTGGTATATTCTAGATACTTTGTGCCACGAATGCATCACTAGTTATTTAAACTAGTCTTACAGTTCGTTGCACAAAGTAACTAGAAGTATTGAGCACTAGTTGCCTTCATGGCAAGATACTTCATGACAGGTAAACTTCAGCACGTTTATTTTGCTGAGCATCTCATTTATATACAATTAACTCTGTGTGTAGGGACGCATGCGGCACAATGAACCACCTGCTTAAAACTGGAACTGAACACTGATTTTGGGACCAGTTAATAATGATTATAATTATATTCTAGACACTTTGTGCTACAACTACTTCACTAGTTATTAAAGCTAGTAATGCAGTTTGTAGCACAAAGTAACTAGAAGTATTGAGCACTAGTAGCCTTCTTGGCAAGATACTACTTGACAGGTAACCTACAGTATTTTTATTTTGCTGCACATCTCCATTTATATGCAATTAACCCTGCATGTAGAGAGGCATGCAGCACAATGAAGCAGCTGCTTAAAACTGGAACTGATAAAAGGATCTGTTTACACCACTATTAATTTTAATGACAACTGTATTGTGTAGCGAGTAAATGAAACTGAACAGACTAACACATGGAGATGGACAAACCAAAAGCTAATTGCATTGGCAAAATCAACCAATCAGAACAGCTTATTGAACAGCATACATTATCATATATTATTCTAACAAGAACATGGACAAGTCTATTCAAAGTCCTGTGCACAGACCATGAGACCCCAAAACTCCCAGTTTTACATATTATTGTGTAATCATTAACACTGAATTCACAAATATTAAAAAGAATTGTACTGTACATGTATTTATAGGTAAATTAGTATAGGTAATCATACGGTTTCGAGTTCAATTTGGAATAATATTAATTTGCACGAGTGAGTTTTTCAAAAAGCTGAAATTGCACGAGCCGCTTCAGTGAGTGCAATTTCAGCTTTTTGAAAAACTCGCAAGTGCAAATTAATTCCAAATTGAATGAGAAAAACGGTATGATTACTTATTAATAATATATAAACATGAACAAATTCGCGTGGAGGAAGTGTTGGGAGATCTTTCTTGAAACCATTTTTCACATTCAAAGTTTCCGTGCAAAATCTTTGTCATCGTTTTACATGATATCATTGGCTCAGAAAATTTCCCATTATCTTTCAGCCAAATCATAATCCAGAATTTCGATGTGTAATTTGCACTGGTGTTACACTTTTTGCACCGGTGTTACACTTTTCGCACTGGTGTTACACTTGAACTGCACTGCTCTCAGCCAATCAGAATCGAGTAATTTTTTCATGCATATTATTATTGGATAAACACTACATCTCCTTTACCTTGTTGTAGTTGCCCTCCATAAGATACTACACAAAAAGAAAAATCATTTTACAAAAAATTAATGTTCAAATAATTAGCAAATTCACAAGTGTGTGGCAATGGGAAATGTGTATTTTGTAACTTAAGCAATCTAGTTACCCTTAGGACAATAAATTATTATCATCACATACATCTGTTTTCAGTGTTATGTGCACAGGCGACGTCTTTTGACATGCTATGTAACCTGGCCTACATCAAAAATGTAAACACAACAGAGTTCTTTACAGTCAAACTCAAATTTTAGTGATGAAAGACCGATTTATTTGACATAAAACTAATGCAACGAGTATCAAAAAGTTATTCTGTGAGAGAGAAATCGACCGTTTTGAATGTTTACACCTTGCAAAATTAATATTAAAAGCAGTGGTGACCCAGTTCTAGTGGTAGTCACTATTGAGAGCCGATTGACTACATTAAAATCGTTTGAATTATCCCGTGAATTGGGAAACATGCAAAGTCCACAATCTTCTTCAGCCATTACAGGTCAATTATCATTTATTTGTCATCTTGTCCGCTGGAAAAATTGCCAGTTTCACAGTTAAATGGTCTTTCAGCCATTTACATAACATGTCAAAAGATGGCATGTCAAAAGATCGTCAAAAGCACATAACACTGAAAGCAGGTGTACATTGAACCCCACAACAAATTATGAAATTCACAATACTATTATTAGTAAACCAATGGTTCCCCATTTGTGCTGACAACATGATCTGCACACAGTACAATGTAAATGATTGATACCTGTTCAAGGGAGACAGAATGCTTTATATAAACATTGTTCTGTAGTTCTTTAGCCGGTAACAGCTCCAGTTCCTGTGAAACAAAAGCAGCAGATTCAAGTGTTTGATGAAGGTATTGGTCTTACTATAAGAAGTATGATTTTTGGAATAGCATTTCTGAGTGGTTAGGGTGCAGCATTTGAAATCCAGAGGTTGCGGGTTCAAGTCTCGCTCTGACCACTTAGCTGGAGTTGTTTCTCAGTAGACCTTAGTTCAAATCCTTGGCCACACTTGTAAATAGCCAACTGGTCTGCCTCCTGCCAGTTGTGATTGTTAAGCCTACTATGTTTAGTTGATAGGTCTGTTTCCTTCAGTTTATGTGGCATGCTGGTGAACTAGCTAGGTGTGTAGCTTCAGCTGTATATGTAAGCGCACTGACCATTATGCACAACATTTAAACATTTTGAACATTTAATAATTAACCTGATACCCATGCAGTGTACATGCAAATCAGGCAGAATCATTAAGTTCAGTTTGCTCACTCTCATAAACAATGAACATTCTGACTTAGAGGACTGGGAAATTTGACCGGCTGTAAGGATGATTTTGCCCACCTGGTTGGACCATCTACTGGAAAATTTTTCTCATAAAGAAGTTCAGTTCAAATAGTTTTGCCTGCCTGTGAAAGCCAGTTACCCTCCTGCTGAAAACTTTAATGAAACCCCTGCATTCTTACTCACTGTGTGGAATTCTGCAAGTCGATTCTGTGCAAGAAGAGACAATAAATTCAGACCCAAAAGCTGGAACATGTATGCGGATTCCTCCAGGGTACCCCTTAGGAAAAAAGTGAGCACTGATAAGAATAAATTATAATACATTTTATTTTCAACAATACTCAGCTGTACTCAACAGGGGGCATAATGATCTCAAGCAATTTCCATCTAGCATGACTTCTAGGATGAAATATAGAATTAAATGTGTAAAATAAAGATAAATACAAACTATTTTTATAACAAGATGAATGTGATCAGTCTGAGCACAGTGTACACTCTTACAAAACAGTGACCACAATGGAACTCAGCAATAAAAAGTTGGTCTTTGTGATAACAGTTAAGCCTGCACAGTCTTGGGGCACCCTGCTAAAAACATGCTGTTATTGAGACACTGCCACTTTACAGTGACCACAGCAAATACAACATTTTAAGCCAACTTCACCATTAGGATCACCTAATGTTAATACCGCCAGATTTTCACAGCCTCTTGACAGCCTCCACTCTACTTTTGCTTATATGCTCTTCCCTGCTAATCATTAACTTAACTATTTATTTAAAATACAAAACTGCATGTCCTGTCTTCTCTTACTTGTAATCTAAGTAATATGGTTTCAGCTGTGCCATATATCTCTCAAATGATGGGATATCCTTCTTTAATATACTCCACTGGACACCAATTTCTAATGCATCCCCTAAAAGTGTCACAGAAATATTTCAATTTGTTACTGTTAATCAATAGCTTCTGTAAAAGGACACATTCACAGATAAGAGCTTGTCAAATAATCTTGAAACTTACTTGCCAACAATAACTCTTGTGGGCTTGGCTTGCATGATGAAGTAGGTAAGAATGAGAACTGAATCAAAGCCATCTAAAAGCAAAAACAAAAAGATGTGTTAAGCCTTGAGCCACTACTTAAACTGACAATTTTCCTTCATGTAGTCCTAATCTGAAATGTAGAATTATATTTTAATTAATTTTTTCCACAATAAAAATTTAGTTGCTCTCGAAACAGTCTTAGGCCCAGTTCCGACGTCGTGCTTCTGTCATGCCGAACTAAACTGAAATTAGGTTTGACTATAGTACGGCAGGAAAACAACTCTGATTCAGACGTCATGCCAGAGTCAAACCAAATTCAGGATGTACCGTGATGCCTCATAACAGTTCTCTCCAAACTCCTCGTGGGAACGCAATCTCTCAAAATTCATTAATATAATTTATGAATTTTGCTTAGCGCAGCAGAAGCACGACGTTTGAATCACTGCCATGTCAGAGTCGTGTAGCATGGCAGAGCTTGTCCAAATTAATTGCTTGCCGAACTTAATTCACAAGTTTGATTTAGACGCCATGCTTTCACCGTGCTTTTGTCGAACTTAATTCCTGAATTTAGTTCGGCACGGCAAAAGCATGACGTCTGAACTGGGCCCTAATTTTAAACCAATTCCTTGATCTATAAATTAAAGCCCTGAACCGATTTACAAGCCAGCCTTGACTGTCACACATACAATTCTACATGTACAGCTGGGAAAAGCTGGTAATATTGTAATGTAAGTTCCCGGAGTAAGTCAGTTTGAAATTCAAAACAAATTGAAGTATATTTACTACAACCAACCCTAGCAGGTTATGATTTGTATAGCAGCCCCCCTGTTTTGGAAGAAAGAGTCTTTACCTTAAATTAATTATTCTAACACTTGAATTGAGTTCGAGGCCACACATTTCAACATTTGGAACTTTTCGTTTATAAGTTCTAGTTCCGTCAAAAGGTGGAGACTAAAGTAAAAAAATACCTTCATTCCAGAAAGAAGCTTTCCAACTTTTTCGAGGTCAACAGGTCTTCTATTCCACTCCTTTATCAGAGTTTGATAAAGAGAAACAACTTCTTTCAACCCACCTTGTGAAGCCATCTTGGATTTTTTGCCGAGTCACAGAGAAACAGTCATAATGCTCAGCGGTAACTGTTGTAATTTATGTGTCGATTGCATTTTCCGAGGAAGACTGGATTCTGACATAAAACGCCTGACAGCTTTTAGCAAACTTAGTTGCGTTCAGAGAAGCGTTCTAGCGGCAAGGTTAAAATAGCCTCTTTTACCTGTTAAAAAGCCTTTTCTGTATCATTTCAATATGGAAAGTGATATCCAGGATGCCTTAGAAGATCTTGGGTGAGTTATGAGTTAGTTTTCAGTATTGCTTGGTACCAAACACTGTTTTTTCATAAGAGCTTCGATCTAATATTTTCGACCAGCAGGCGGCCGAACGCTAAGGTCTCTCTTTTGCCATTAAGGAGTTCCAAAGTTACCATTTGCAGTCGTTTAATATTTTGGTAGTTCTGTTATAACTTCCAATGACCTTGAACTAAAAAATAAAAAATACAGTCAACCATCTTCGGTTGTATCGTACAACCGAAGATGTTCTACAATGATCATGAAGCATGCAAGATACATGTTCCTAAAAGCATTAATTTGTTTAATAATTGCGCTGTATAGACCTAAGTCTTGCATTTTACCGGAGTTCAAACTGTTTTTTTAAAAAAGACTGTCAAAATATACTAACTTGCTCAAGTGACTCCCAGTTCAAAGTGTGTTCTTAATTCTCAGCCTCAACCTTCTTATAAAAAGGTTCTTGCAGGAAAAAAGAGTGGAACATATACCTAATTTCATTTGGATTAATATGCATAAAGTTGATAATTATTACACAAATCAAATAATTTTTTTGTCAATTTCAAAATCTGTAACTAGCTAGTTTTCATGAATATTTTGACATTTTTTTTTATAGATTTGATGGTGCACTTTTAGAGGAAGGTGCACTGTCAGTTGCTGTACAGGGAGAAAACCCCACACCAGATTTTATGGCCTTGTGTGTCTGGCTGTCAGAAAACTTGAAGTCCCTTTGCAGTATACAAGAACATGTTACAGGTAATAAATTACAAATTTTTAATGTGTACAGAACTGATAAAGTTAGTATTAAATAAATTATAATTACCAGTAAAAGTGTCAAATTTTTGCACATTATGTAAAGCTAAAAGTGATTCAATTTTATGCAATTTTAAATAGAAAAAGAGGATGAAGAAACATTTAGAATGGAAATGAGTGCATTGTTGAATGAACTGGGTGAGTAAGATTGATTGGCGTCAGTTTTAAGCATTCGTTTGAGGGTGGCCTTACTAATTAAGTTTTTTCCTACAACAGGTTGTCCTCATTCCCAACTTTTGGGAGTAAACAGCCTTGTGTCTCCATCAAACAGGCTGCTTTTGTTAGGTATCTATAATCATTTGATAAAATTATCTCTTACCTTAATAGTATTTACTTGATCTTGGAAGGTTCAGTGACCTAATGGCTAAATAGTGTAGCAGACTTCAGATCAAGCAGCTAGCATTTATGCAGGGTCACTGTGTTTTGATCTCGGGCAGGAAACTTACCAGGGTTCGTACTTGTCCTGGAATTTTATTGTGACATTTTCCAGGACTGGAAAGTCCTGGAAAAAGGCTGCTGGTCCTGGAAAGTTCTGGAAATCTGTTAAACGCAAGTGAAAAAATAATATGAAATGTATGGCAGACAGTAAGGAGAATCGACATTGAGATCTTGGGAGTGAAAGGGTTACTGTGAATTTTAGAGTCCTGGAAAAATCAACCTGGGTCCTGGAAAAGTCCTGGAAAAGTCCTGGAAATATGTTCCTAAAAAAAGGGTATGAACCCTGACTTACTGCATGTCACTGAACAGTACCTCTCTTTAGCTAGGAGCATACATGTACAAGAAACTTGTATAAACAGAAACTGGTGAACAGTTAGCCAGGGCAACCAGGAGAGAAAAGTAATGAGCTATTCCTTGTCACTTCATGCTCAGAAACCTGAATAGGCTCTGAAAGAGTAAGCGGCAAGCCAGTCATTTGTATTAAGTGCCACATTTCCCATCTTATCTAACATAGCATTTCAATGGACTTTTTTCTTTTATCTTCAATGTTAATTAAGTTGATCAATTTAATGTTAATTGTGTCAGCTATTAAAGTGTTTTTTTTTTTTTTTTTAATGTTGTTTTATGAAATGGCATCCTATCTTTTCATTCTTGTCAGACTATCTGTCATCAGAACTTCAAGCAATACGCATGACTGGAGGGGACGAAGATAAAATGGAGATTGATGAAGAAGTATATTTCTAAGTGGCATTTTCAGTCACTGATAATTTTTTACTGATTATAAAAATTAATGAACATTAAGTAATTCATTTGTGAGACTACAGTCATGCACACAGATAATTTAGACACAGACTCTGTAAATTCTAGATTATAAATTATAGCTTATTGTTCACTGCTTTTAAAAATGTAGGTTTGATTTATTCACCTTTATGATTATCTTATGATTCAATTTTTCTTGACAGGCAGTAAATCCTGTCCTGCAACACTTAAAGGCTATTTTAGCTGCATTGAATTTACCGGAGCCCACTAAGGAATCAACTGTGTTTGAGTTGTTTTCTCAGATTGAGACAAAGGTAGGTACCATTGGGCTTAGTACAAGTATAAATGCAAGGATTAATAGAAATGTTTATTTGGAGCTAGTGTTGCTTAATATAATCTAACAATTAGCTGTAGATGACAGATCACTAACCTGCTGCTTTTATCTTATACCAAGTAAACTTTATTGCCTTTTTCCAGTATGGATTTTAAGTGCCCGTGAGCCAATGTAATACATTGTATACTAAGATATAACCAAGCGAAACACTGATAAAGGAAACACAGAATATAAGACAAAATAATGTAAAGTTTTCAAAATTTATAAATTATTTTGTTGTTGTTTCTTTGCAGGTGCGGCAACTTTTAAGTAAAGCTCCTAAAGATCATCTTGGCAATCCATTATTAAATAAAAGTTTAGGCCGCAAGCAGTGGGTATGTTTTCATTTTCTCTTATATGTTCTTTTAACCCGACTGCTGAATTTAGGAGACTAAAAGTCTTTTTGTTCAATGTACAGTGTATATAATTTCTTAACTTTTAGCTTTTTTTTTCCAGAACAAAGTGGAAGAAATAAACTCACAGCTCAATCAGGAGTATACACTGCGACGTTCAATGTTATTGAAGAGATTAGATGTGACAGTTCAATCCTTTGGCTGGTCTGATAGAGCCAAGGTTGGAAGTTAATAACTTCACATTATTATCATCATCATCATTATCATTATCATTATCTTAATTATCGTTATCATTTTTTTACTGTCTCTTTTCTTTATGAAATGTACATTTACCTCCCCTGACCATGTTTAATTTTATTGTTCATTAAAATCTGATTTTTTTAAATGATCCCAAACTTGCTTTCACTGATAATGGTTGTCATTTTAAATTACATGCCTTTTTATGTCTTATGTTAATTTTAGTGATGATTTTTACTCCAGGTTAAGAAAGATGAGATATCCACAGTTTATCACCCTCTGAGAAAATCTCTGTCAGCTGCAGCACCAGTTAGCGTTCCAGATATCATTGCAGCAAGATCAGGCAAGAACTGGGTTTCTTATAAATATTTCAGGAAACTATGAATTTTATTTCACTGGGGTCAGTAAGACTGGCTACAAATGGCATCATGATTAAATTCAAACCAGTTTTGAATCTCCTGGTTATTCAAAGTAATTGCTTGCTACTTTGGCAAGAATGATATTATTAACATTTTTCAATTTTTGGAACCTCCTGATTTTCAAACTAATATCTCTTCAACTAGATGGTTAGAAAAAACTGGATTCCACTTTACACATACCTGCTAGAGACAGCAAGGTCTCTCGTGTATGTTGATTGCAAACAAATTTGTCTGGAGTTATATGTAACAAATATAATTATTATATGTACTACATGTATAACATGGATCCGAAATACTTTATTTAATAATCACAATTATTTATAATATCCAGAGTAGAAAGATAGAAATTAAAAATAAATTGCAACACAAATCTTTTATTGTCGCATCGCTTCCAGAATTGCCCACTGATTTTTTTTCTTGTGGTAGATTTATTAAGGTTGACAAGAACAAGCAGTGGAGAAATCAGAGACAAAACACAATGTAAAATCAACAAGGTCATGATGGGCAAGGTAACAACTACTGTCAATAAAAACATAATTCCCAAATTGTGCTTAAATCACAAATAGTGTTTACTTAGTGGCTTTGTAGTTAAATGACTTGTGTGACCCAGATGTAATAATGCTCCAAAATAATTAGGTCTTTTCTTACAGTTAATAAGGCTTTCTCATTATTACGGCCACTCTATTCTGGCCTGAAAAAAAGCTCAGTCAGTCATTTTCTTATTTAAAGAACCCCTTTATTACAGCCACCCATTAATATGGCCAGACATCAAGTGACAAAATTTCAATTAAAACAAGAATTGTTTGGCAGGACTTAAACAGTATAATATACACCAGCAGCTTTCAATAACTTTCAATATTTGTTTTGAATTCTTTTGTGTGTGTGTTTGTGTAAGGTACCTGATCGAGGAGGGAGGACATCAAATGTAGCACCACCAGTAGAAATGCCATCATTTAAAAAGAGAACAGAGGCACCCAGGGACCAAAGGCCACAAAGTAAACCATACTAGATAAATATTTTATTATTATCAGTTTCATTTATGCTCATTAGAAGTTTACATGATTATACAGGAATTGTTAATAATTACTACAAACTCTTCTTTTAGGAAAGCTGTTAGTAAAACATTTAAGAACTGGCAAAGGGAAATTTTCTCCTTGCATTTTTTATCATCCTGTCTTCAAATTTTGCACGGTTTTGCTAGCAACTTGCAAAGTCGGGAAATAAACAAGCAGATCAAGTTATCTTTTCAGACTATCATTATATTTTATTGAGTAGTGTTTTTATCTGTGACAGGTGGTCGTGGAGGCAAAAGAGGAAAAGTTCAAGGGAGTGAGTATCGTTGACTTGCAATCATGACGTATTATTTTCTGTCATTTTGCTATTTTGGCTTTGAAAAAATATGTAACAAAACACGGTTGTTTCAGGTTGGTCTGGTGGTGGACGGGGTGAAAGGGGTGGCCAGGGAGGTCGATGGAGAGGAGGAAGGGGCGATGGGCAAGGTGGAGGCCAAGGAGGAAATCCTTTCGGAGGGGGTTACTATCAGAGAACCAATCAATACTACAGCTGAAGTCCTTTGTTATCAATTAATAATATATGCATTTTAAGCTGAAGAGCTTTCCGTGATGCCAAGACATGTAATTCAATAGTCAGAATACAACCTGCAAAGTAGGAGAAAGAGGAATAAAATTGCTTCTACTTAAAGTCAGTGTCAATGACCAGTGTTCCTTGAGTAAGAATTGTTTTAATACTTGTTACATAACTTGGGAACACAAATGTTCTATATCTGAATGTTGATTTTAAAAAAATTGGTTTTCCACCAGATCCCTTAGACACTCCCACCTTCTGTGGTTGCTTACTCGAACCCCCTCCCAATAAATCCAAGATCCACTGAATTCAATGTGAGAATAGCTATTTATATTTAATAATAGAACTGAGTTGAGTCTTGTCTGGTCAGTAATCATAGGTGATTAATAATAATATAATCATTGTCACGCAAAAGTCAGATGACTGCAAAACGGAAGTCTGATTTTCATCACTGCCCAGGGTCCTGACCACACTTATGCTGTTTTGTTTGAAAATGCGTAAAACAAAAATGCATACTTTCTGAATGCATATTTGCCTATTGTCCACACTAAAAAACGCTGCTGAAAACAGAGGCTTTTGAAAATGGTGATGAACAAAGTGTCAAATACTGAGAGAGTTTTATTGTGGATGGTAGTTGAAATTGTATCAAAAAGTATTGCATTTTCGAATGAAAACAAATTAGTGGGAGGGCTAAGATTACAGGCAATTTGACAAGAGGTAAATCATGACTTATTAGTCTAAGTCAAAACAGGCCCAACAATGTAAAGTGAAATTTAATAATTTTGTATTGTTTTTTCTTTGTCACAGATTAAAATCAATGAATTATTGAAAAATAATGTATTGAGTACCTNTAATAATGATCAACTTTATTTATTAAGGGTAGCTCACAACAGTAATAACTGAAAAACCAGTGGCCCT